ACCATAAATCATACATGGACGAAGTACCATCGGCTGAACAAGCCAAAGCATAATTATTTTTACATCGTACGTACGTGTTCACCTGAACAAGCCTTTCAATGCTAGCCTCTCTTTGAGTTCACTAATTGGGTTGTCCGTCTCTTCTTTGCTGTACAAGTTCCCTGGACAAGGAATTTGAAGTTATTTTTACGACACTTTATTCAAGTCGTGAGTAAAGTGTTAATTCAATGAGTTCATATCTGCATCAATCTTTACTTCTTCATTAGAAACAAAACCTCAATGAGTTCTTACTTGATCTTCACTTGAAAATTACGACTCGCCAAACGCTCCACCTCCTCGTTCTTCTTCGACAACACCACAAAAACCTGCAGCTCTTCATTCCCAAGCTCCCCTTGCTCTTCAACTACATCTCTAGCACAAATCACAGCCTCGTCACTACAGTACTCCACCTCGATCGATCTCAACGTCATTACATCACCAATTTCCCTAGGCAACTCCTTCAGCTTGCGCAAGTACCTAAGCACAACCTTCTCAAGGCAGGGGAAATGGCTGCTCTCCACCTTCCACCTCTCGAGTTCCATGCAACACGAGACCAGCAAAAACTTGAGGCTACAAAACTGCCCCTCGACCGTTTCCCACACAGGCCCCACAAAGGCATCCACATTCAGCCTCAGCACCTCAAGATTCGGCAGCCACCCGATTTTCCGGGCCATGTCCTCCCACCCGAGGCCCGTGCACCAAAGAGTCAACTTCTTGACCAAGCGCGGGAAAACGAGGTTCTCGGATAAATAATCCCGGCCCGGCCTGTTTTTTGACGGAAAGTGGAGGGAAAGCGAGTCGAGCTTCTCGAAACACTCGATGTTTTCGAGACGGCAGCTCGGCCAGTCGAGGAGCCTCTCATCGTAAAACAATCTCAGTTTCTTGATGTTTGGGAGCCTCTCGACTACCCCTTGCCTGCACTTGAAATTTCGTACTGTCGAAAGCTTTTGAAGGTTCTCGAGAATGAAGTTTTCTTCATCCGGATCTGGGAGATGGAGCAAGTCCAACTTCACGTGTCTGAGTTGAGGCATTTTCCAAATCTGCAAGGGCTCAATGGATTCGCTTCCCGACGTGACGATTAGTGTCTGTAGATTCCAGAAGAGTGGGACCCGAGTAATGTCGCGCCTCGGTATATTGAGACTGTCGATATACCGGCAGTTGACTAATCCAGGACAGCTCAACAGGGAATAATAACAGTTTCTGTCATTACCGTTAAACACCCTCATTAATCTAAAATTTAAAGATTCTGCCACGCTGTGTGATTTGCGCGTGAAGGAGCGGACGAGGGGTGCGTATCTCTTCAAGGCGTGAACCATTTGAGGATTCGTGCCCTGATGAATGACGACTCGTCGTTGGTTGCTTATGTTTTGCGGAATGTGGTTTTTGTAAAGGCTTGTGACAAAGAGGAATCTATGCTTTTGAGATTCTCTTATGCATAAATTCATCAGGAGATCGTGGATCTTGCAGTATTTTATTTTAGAGTTGTATCCTCTTTTGCTCGCAAAAACGAGATTTCGGTCGATGAGCTCATTGAAGTACTCTTCTGCAGCTTGTTCGAGGCTTTTACCGGCGATCGGCTTTAGAAATCCCTCGGCAACCCATAGCTTCATGAGGTTAGAGACATGAATCTCGCAGTCTTCAGGGTAAACTCCCATGTAGAGGAAACACGGCTTTAGGTGAACGGGCAATTGGTCGTAACTCATTTGAAGTATTTTCGAGCAGCGTTTGTCGTCCTCTGTTTTCACGATCGAGTCGAGATTCTCTGCTATGTGTTGCCAGTACTGTTCGTGCGCCGGTTTTGACTTTGCGAGGAGTCCTCCAATCACGACGATTGATAAAGGAAGTCCTTTGCAATTTTCGGCAATCTTCTTTCCTATTTCTTCAAATTCTGTCGGGCAAGGTTCGCTGCCAAACACAATCTTGCAAAGCAGTTCCCAACTTTTGTCGTCGTCCAACAAACTTATCGTGTAGCCATGAGTACCGGTTATCTCGAAAGCCAAGTTCGACAGCCTAGTTGTCATCATCATCCTACTCCTATTATCATTATCCGGAAAAAAGAACTTCAACTTATCCCACGCCTCGATACTCCATAAGTCGTCCAGTACAATCAAATACCTCCGACCCACTAAACTCTTGTACAACATTTCTCCTAATTCATGTTCGCTCATGTGGTTCATGCTCTCCTTTCTACCTGCATTGTCTTTCTGACAAACAAGGAGCTCGAGAAGAATCTCTTTCGCGTCGTATTCTTGAGAAATCGTGGCCCACGCACGAACATCGAAATGATGCTTAACGCACGAGTCTAAATAAACATTTCTAGCGAGAGTTGTCTTACCAATTCCACCCATGCCGACAATCGGTATGATTTGACGGCTGCACGATCCTCCGGTGAGCTTATCCATTATGTCGAGCTTGATGTCATCCAACCCCACCATGATGTCATGCCTCACAAGATTGGATTTTACTGAAGAACCGGAAGATATTGATTTTTTACAGGATTTCTCTTTAACGTCGGCCACATCTCTCTTGATTGTCTCGAAATCTTGGATAACTCGTTGGAGACGCTGATTGAAGTCGATAGTGGAGATGGGCCCACGGCTTCTGGGTGGGGGAAGGATTTGGTCGACCACATGGAATTCGATGATATCCTCTACTGCATAAGCTGCATTAGCAATGCGGCTTTCCAAGGCCTCACTGGTGGGATAATTTTCGAGAAAGTCTTCCAAGAAAGTGATTTCAACGGTGAGAGATTCGACCTGTTTGTTGTCGAGCGAAATCGGAGGGTGGGGATGGTGCTGGATCTGCTCTATTATATTCATTAGAGAAACTAGAGCTGCATAAGCTGCCATATCTGGTTGTTATTTCTATAAATCTTTTATTTTTTTCTGCAGAAAAATGAAGGAGTTGCAGTTTGATATAGGCTTTTGTGAAAATGAGATGATTACTTGTGGAGTGTCACAAATTCACAATAAACTATTTTTAGACAGAAAAGTTGTCAGCAATAATTGTTGAGCCATTCATGATCCATGCCTTATATTAAATTCCAAGTGCCTCTAAAGGGTTGACTTCCAAATTCCAATAATGGCTCGTTCTTCATGAACTTCGGTATTTGATAAATTATCGATTAATTTATATGAATATTCTAATTTTTCTTGTTGAGGTATACTAATTTATATGTTGATTCAAAAATTGAACCGTCTGTTTATCCTTTAAAGTTACATATACTTGATATTTGAAATATTTTTTCGCATCTATTTTTATATTTATATAATACTTTTTTTTTCAAATACCAAATGTATGATATTCTAAATAAATATTATTCAATATACATTTATACTTTGTTTATGAGATAATCTTGCACACATTTATTAATTTATAATATTTTGTTTATGACATAACTTTACACTCATTTATAAATGTAAATTTATATGGGTCGATAAAGTTAATTTTAATTTATATAGGTAGAAATAGTAATTTATTTATTTTTTATTTGCAATATGAAAGTGAAATTGTTAAAAATAATTAATGTGAAACTATTATTTTTTTTGAAAAAAAAAATATCTATATTTAATAAGAAAATAAAAAATCAATAACATACGGATAAATATAAATATTAAATGGAGGCAACACTTAAAAAAAAATAGAAATAAACACCACCAGAATTCATTACTTTAATTATAACTCACGTTAGAAAGCTCTATACTATAAATCGATCTAGGCGTCCGCCTGAATAGCACCTAGGTCTCAGGCAGCACCTTAGCACCACGACTTTTGCCTAGGCGATCGTTCTAGGGCCCTTGGCGCCACGACTTTTGCCTAGCCGTTCGAATAATAAGGCAATGTCTAGGCGGGTTAAGCGGTTGTGAAACTACTCACGCTTAGGCAGATTAGGCGGTCTTGATAGCGTCAAGACACCCATATATTTTTTTCCAAGTTTTTAATTTACTTTAAGAAAATAAAAATAATTTTAATTTTATAATAAAATATTAATTTACTTGAAATTAATATTAATTATATAATAAATATATTAACAATTATTTCACATTTAATACAATAATTATGATGCATTGAATTTCACATAATCTTTGTATTCGACTATATTAATTAATATATTTATATAATATATCTAATAATTTGTACATGATAATAAATATAAATAAAATTATAATATTTCTCGACCTCGTCTAAGTATTGCATAGCCCCAGCTTAAACACCCTAAGTGCCAAGTCCTAGCGAGTTTTAGAACATTGTTGGAAAGGAACTTAAAAAAAAAAAAATTACATCTGTAGAGCCCCCATAGCAATATTTATATATATACGTTCTTAATAATTTTTCACCAAAATGGGATTTTGATGGGATCTTTTTTTCATATATACGAAATGACTTTCACTCACCAGCTATTAATTTTCTCTCTCTGCATATTAAATGTGCATTGANTTGAATTCGAAAGAAAAAAAAAAACCGTCCAACCACTAAATATATGTTCAGATATATTGTATATATACATCAGATAAACATGATCTGATAGTTTTCTATTATTAACTGTATAGTTATACATAAAATAAACAACATATAAACAATTTTGAAATGGGATTAAACATAATACACAATTATGAATGACTGCAAAATCCAAATCGAATGTAGTTATACATAAACAACATATATATAAGCAATTCTGAAATGGGATTGGTTGATCTCACCTCATCACTCCCAACGTCACCCCTTCATCTCCTCAACGAGCCCTGGTGTATCTTCGACATTGCACGGGTGAATCATAGCATTGCTCGAAGCCGATCGACGAATTGATTGATTTTAGTTCCTATTTCGTATTTGAATTGAGATATGAACAATAACAAGTAAAGATAGGAGAATTGAGATATGAACAATAACAAGTAAAGAGAGGAGTTGGGTCGCCGAGAGCCATCAGAACCACTGATTTTCGATCTGCCTTCTTTACCCGCCATACAAACCTCCAATTGCGACTCTTACCCGGTCACGACCTTCTCAGCCGCCACCGTCAAAAGGGTGATGGGGGTGGGTGGTACACGAATTGAGAAAAAAAATTCAAAAAAGAAAAAAAAAATGGAGGAAATTAATTGATACTTGGCCGCCGATTCTGTCGTGCCCTTGTGCGATTTGAGCCGCCGTAGAGAAGGAAGAAAGAGAGCAGAGATGCGGAAAGATCTAGAGAGAGAGAGAGGTTGCGATGAGAACTAAATATACGAGCACTAAAAATATACAAATTAAATCTGTGATATTTGTGATAAAAATTAGCACTTGGTAATTTTAATATTATTATTTGTCAAATCTATACTTATATTAAAGGGAGTCATATTTACCAAATTAAGTAGCCAGAAAAGTCAACAGCATTTATTGCATTACTATTTCCGTATTATACAATCTTCTATACTTATATAAAAGGAGATTCTATTTACTATATTTACTATCCAGAAAGTCAACTGCATTAAATGCCATTACTATTTTGGTATTATAATATTTATTTATTTAATTGATTTGTTTATTTGTTTTATTTTAAAAAGGTAAGTATAATAAAAAGATTTTAATAATAAAAAAATCAAATACCAGATAAAAATGTACACTTTGACTTATTTGATTATATTTGGTATTTGATTATACCAAATATATTCCTATTTAGTATATACATTAAATACTTACTAAAGTATTTATTTTTTTTATTTGTCAAAGTTAAGTATAGATTTGTTTATATTATCAAATCATAAAAAATATTAAATCCATATTGTAAAAAAAAATCATATAATTTTATAACAATTCTACTACACTATTTAACAATATTTTTTTTTTATTATATAATAAAATAATAATTAAATATTATATGGTGAACAACAATAAGTAAAACTGTTACTTTCTCTTATATCAAGGGATAAATTTATATGCTAAAATTAAATTTTTATTAGTATAAATATTTTAGTAAGATAATATATTAATTATTTTACAAGTTAGCCCTAACATGCTCATATTTAATGTTTTAAAAGATGTAGAAAAAAACTTATAATAACTCTATTGATTTTTAGACTTAAACGTTGATTAAAAGAGGTAAAAATTCCTAATTTTTTAGACTTAAACGTTGATTAACACCATAGATTGAGAGTTTATATTTAGTAAAATTCCTAATTGTAATAAAAAAAAATAAGTTTTGCTATATTTTTAGAATATCTTTAAATTCATTATAAAAAAAAGGAAAAAAAAACTACAATGAAAAAACCAAGTCAGCTATATATCGATTTGTTGTACTTCTGAAATCACATTCACAATTTGGCTACGAGGAAAGGAAACTCATTGATTAAAATATTATTTTGTCAGTAGTCTTAATGTACAAGAGACTTTAAGACTCCACTTGAATATTATAAAACTTTTATTGAACATTGTACAATTTTCTTGCGTATTATAAACTTTTATTGAATATTACATCTTATAATATAATATTCTCCAAATAAATATATCCCGTGCTTCGCACGGGTCACGTACTATATATATTTCATATATTTTTCTTTATTCATGTATATAATTATAAGCCTGAATCATGTAGTAGTCATTAGTAAGTGGCGTAATTTTCTCTAAAAATATCACGGGCTAAAACTATAAATAAAAATATAACAGGAGCATGAGAGTTTGGGCCTCCAAAAATCTTGCATGATCAACTTTGTTCCCCTGATTGTTATCTTCATTTCCCACAAATATGCTGAAATGAACAGTATTACAGAGTCTACAGCTACTAATTACTTCCTTGTCAAGTTGTCATCAATAGCTAATCATTAGTATTTCCGTTTTTCTAGATTTCTTTTCTTGTTCCTCAGACGCCGCGATTATCTTATCCACTATTTTCTTCATTAATTCAGGTATACTGTTAAATCTCTATTATTTGAATCTTTCACAGCTTCATGAACGCAACCGTGTCGATCGACATATCGTTCTGGATTTAATTGAAGAGTATTTCTTCACATCTGAATCGCTATGTGATGATTGGTGTGTTGGAGAATCCCTAATTTTCCCAATTTCTGTTAATTTTATGTTTGGCGGTGTGATATCCTGATTGACTTTTAATATTTATTAATTTACTTATTGTGAGAAAGAAAAAACATGTTCCAATGATTAGGTTTTATGAATTCAACTCGTTTCTGCTTCGTGTGGGTATTAGTGAGAGGATAAGATGAGAAAGGGGGATAAATGTAAGGGGTTCTCTCTCTCTCTCTCTCTCTCTCTCTCTCTCTCTCTCTCTCTCTGTGCTGTTGGTATTCTTAATTATTTATTGTGTGAATTCTTATGGGAATGTTTGTCTCCTCAGTAATCTTGTCTGGAAGTCCTAGATTGGGTTTTTTGGTGTAAATTGATTTAGAGTTTTAGTTGAGATAGTTACTGCGACTGGTTGTCTCATCGATCAATTTAATGCCTGTTGAGCTTGGACTAGTGGGTTTTACCATGTCAAGAGATCAATCACTATGGAATTTACTCATGATCTTCATACACAGCTAAGAGAGATCAGCTAAGAGAGATCAACCTTTTTAAAGGAAGAGATATTGAGACCTTAGGTGAAGTTTTAGATAATGTGTCTGTTACTATCTGTCTGTCTCCTAAATCTTCATTTTAGTTCTTTTGTTGAGCACAAAATCATTTAGTGAAGTTTAATAATGACATGATTACAGGATTTCGATCTGAGTAGACGATATGGTTTCCTCAGGAATTTGATTTTGTATCATCATTAATCTACAACAGAATTTCACAATTTTATTTCTGAAATGTTCCATAAATGGTGGTATTACTTTACTGTAAGTGCATGCATTAGAAAATGCATCTAATCCTTATGAACTTCAATACTTCATGTGATTCATAAGTTACCAGCACTTCTACTACCTCAATTTTGAAAATGAGGAACATCAAAATGCTACCTAAAACGAAAAAAAAAAAATAGAAACAAAATAAATTAAAATAAAAAATACAAATTTCAATTAATGCATCTGCTTTTCACATCATCATCAGCCAAAAGTTAATCCGGGCCCTTAACGTGTTGATATCGAATTTGTACATGGTTTTGTAAAGAATTGGAGCTATAGTTATGCTACTCATGAAGAATAGGAGTTATACTTATGGTTAATGATCAGCTGCAAGAAAAGAATGACGATAAAATAGCAAGCCAGTTGTTTTGGCTGGCATGTGAGCCCTTGGTTTGTTTCTGTACTTTTATTGGAGAACTGTTTGAACAGAATCGAAGAAAAGCAGAAGAAAATTGTGTTCTCTTAATTTGAATATTATATACAATTAAAAAGTAATTAGATAATTAAGCTCACTAATTTAGAGGCTCTATCAACAGTTCCTAATTACCTTAAGATGTTCAGTGTCGTTTGTTTTGCCAAGACTTGAAACTGCCACGATTGCTATTGCTCTATTTCCATCTGTGCTCAATAGCATTCATTTCATTTACTATATCTTCTTTCCTTCTGCAGTTGTTTGGAGACTCTTTGGTGATGGCAGACCTCAAAGAACGTCTGCTCCCACCAAAACCTGCTTCAGCTGTAAATCTCAGGGACTCTTCGTACAGGCCATCTGCTTCGGGCCGTCTCCCTTTCCAAGGAGTAGATGTTTCGGGCCTTAAAAAACGAGGTCAGGGCCTTCGGTCATGGATACGTGTTGATGTATCTGGAAACTCCCAAGTGATTGAAGTCGATAAGTTCACCATGATGCGTCGTTGTGATCTTCCAGCACGTGATCTTAGATTATTAGACCCGTTATTCGTTTACCCATCGACTATTCTCGGAAGAGAGAAGGCAATTGTTGTAAATCTTGAGCAGATTCGTTGTATAATCACGGCGGACGAGGTTTTGTTGTTAAATTCGCTCGATAGCTATGTGCTGCAGTATGTGGTGGAATTGCAGAGACGGTTACAGGTTGCGGGTGTTGGTGAGGTTTGGCAGCCCGATGGCCTGGATTCGAGCAGAAGAAGAGGAAGCTGGAATGTTGATAACATGTATGGAAACAACACGTCTCCAGATTACTTGCCGTTTGAGTTCAGGGCTCTTGAGGTTGCTTTGGAGGCTGCCTGCACTTTTTTGGATTCTCAGGTAAATGCAGTGAGTTTTGTCTTGTATAAAACGTATGTGATCTGTTGGAATCTTAATATTTGTTACTATTTATATACTTCATTCAATATGTTGGTTTAAAGTATATCCACTAAATTTATCTTCCTGAAATCTTTTAATTTGATTAGGCTGCAGAATTAGAGATCGAAGCATACCCACTACTGGATGAACTCACTTCAAAAATCAGTACCCTGAATTTGGAACGAGTCCGTAGGTTAAAAAGTAGACTCGTTGCATTGACTCGGAGAGTTCAAAAGGTATTTAACAAGTTTATTCTCTTCATCTTATCTAATGTCCATTGCAAATGGAGCCGGAAGAGTCATTGTTGACAATTTTCCTGGCATAGTGCTAATAATGGACTAGATCAAAATGGCTCAATTAAATTCTAGTGCTTCTTCTATTAGTGAAGTTTCTAGAAAAAAAAAAAAATATCAACCGGCGCAATGCACCTTGGGTCGCTACGGAAACAACCTCCTTGTATAATTACAAGGGTAAGGTCTGCGTACAATTGACCCCCCAGACCCCAACCTGTTGGGGGAATATACTGGGTATGTTATTGTTGTTGTTGTATTCTCTTCATCTTATCTCTATAATATCTGCTTCCTATGAAATTATAATTTTGGGGAAAGCTACAGAGGCTAGCTATGAGGTTTAGGGTTTTCACAAAAGAACCCACTAGCTTTTGAAGTTACAAATACAACACCCTCCAAGCCGGTTTTGTCATTTATGATTTATTCACAAATATTGTAACTTGAAATATATCATTACCTTTTTTTTTTTTTTNCTTTTTTTTTTTTTTTTAGTTGTGCTTGGTTTTTAGGTTTTCTAATTTAACCTATAAATTTAATCACCTAGGTCAGGGACGAGATAGAGCAGCTAATGGATGATGATGGAGACATGGCGGAAATGTATCTTACAGAAAAGAAAAGGCGCATGGAGTCGTCTTTCTATGGCGATCAATCTCTAGTGGGCTATCGCTCGAATGATTTGTCAGTTTCTGCACCTGTTTCCCCTGTCTCATCTCCACCTGAAAACAGGAGGCTCGACAAATGCCTGAGCATAGCAAGAAGCAGACATGAAAGTTTAAGGAGCTCGGAAAGTGCCACGGATAGTATAGAGGAGCTTGAGATGTTATTGGAGGCCTACTTTGTTGTGATTGATAGCACCCTCAATAAACTGACTTCAGTATTGCCCTGTGTCCATTTTAGTTGTTTGTCTGCTTTAACTCGCATTTTATTAGCGATAAATATTTTACTGATGNCTTTAAGCTGAAGGAGTATATTGATGATACGGAAGACTTCATCAACATTCAGCTGGTATGTGTTTCTTCATTTCCCCCTTGTTCTCTCCTTTCTTGAAAACAATTTATTACCTTTAGTATCAATGTGATATGCTAGTATATCTTGTTCAAAATGACCTGTTCGGAATACATTACGTGATTTTTTTGACTTATACATAATTACACATCCCCTTGATGTATGCTTCCATTTCAGTAAACCCAAAAAGTAGGGGAATTGGCCCCTTACAAAATACTAGTATAATGGGAAGTTAAAGAGCTGTTCATTGACACCCTCATAATCTTGTGCAGGATAACGTTCGAAACCAGCTTATACAATTTGAGCTGTTACTTACTACGGCAACTTTTGTTGTCGCAATATTTGGAGTGGTTGCTGGGATATTTGGCATGAATTTCCCAATACAGATGTTTGAAGACGCCAGCGCTTTCAAATGGGTTCTAATAATCACGGGAGTTTGTGGGGCCATCATTTTTTCCACATTTTTGTGGTTTTTCAAGTATCGAAGACTGATGCCATTGTAGAAGCTCTGCGTTAAAAAATTTAAACTGCAGGTTTTGAGTCCATGACAGGAGCTTGTTATTATCGATAGTCGAGACTTATTTTGGAGCCTCGAAATTTCAGAATGGGTAGGAAAGAAAGAAGGTTATTGTGCTTCCCATTCATTCTCATCATTCTTATCAATTGTATGGAAAAAATAATATGTGATTCTTCCTTTTGTTCTCCTGTCTGTACCCCAACTGTTTTGGTGCCTAGAACCGAATATATTTCAAAATACGTGAGTTTGTAATATAAATAAATAAATTTATATTATTTAATATTTGTTTATATATTTTGTCCATCAACTAGTAATGGAGTTTTCAGTTTGGGATGCAGTTTTCAGTTTGATTTTATACCCTGAAAGATAAATTATCTGAAGGACCCAAAAGACCTAAGATTATCAATTTAAAATTTTTAATATATCAGTTTGAGACTTAAAATGTGAGTCAACTGTCAATTTGGGCTTACAAATAAAATCTGTCAATGTGCAATTCGAAGAAAATTAAATTTATCAGTTAAAAAATCTAAAGTAACACACATTTTATTTTTATTTTTTTATTTATATTGAGATGTTTTTATTTGTTATATTTTTATATTTGATGTGGCATACAAAAATTTGCTCGTATTTTTTATATTTTTTAATGTTTTTTTATTTTATTCTTGACGATTATATTCAAAATCTTAATGACTCAACAGGCGACCTATTAATTTATCTTTTTAAACATCTCCATTTGATGCTTCAATTTATAGTATACAAACACTTTTTATATTATTATAAAAAAAAATAGTTTCAACCATTATTGTTTTCTTTCCCTATAAAACTGTGCTCACAATAAAAGTTATATCACACCAAACTTGAGTTAGCTTTTGGTTTGAAATACTTCACAGGGGAGAGATTTGGTTGTAAAAGTAAAACGATCCATGCATATTGGATGCCTACACGATTCAAAATTTCAAATCATTCACACAACACAACCCTAACAAAACCCAACCGACTTATTATTATGGATTTGAGATGCTTTACTTTGAATACTTATTCATGTCTATCATTATAGAACAGAAAAATGACCAAAAATTCCAACTAGCTCATTGTCCATGATCTCACGAGGTGTTCATACAAAAACTTGTAATTTCATANACAACCAACTTATAGGAAGTATTTCCAAAAGAAAAAAGGAATAAAATGAAATGATGGAGACTTATTGTCTTCATTTAGGCGTGGATGAACTAGCAGAAAGCCTGGCACTCCTAGCTTTATCGGCCTTTTCCAAGTAATCTTGATGAGATTGATGCTTTGTGCCTTCAACAAACAAAGTTATCTTAGTTCTAGCTGCTCATTGAACAACAGTTAAAAATCAATAAAAGAGCTGCACGTAAAGGATATATTCAAACAAATAAATCAGAGAGGATCGCCAAGCAAAAATGTATCAAGGTTTTCTATTCTCGGCTCGCCTATGTTTCTTTCAAATGTAATGTACTTTCGAAACTAAGATTTCAGAAAAAATCATTTCTATTTGTACTTCTTCAAAACTGTTCATATGATCTCTGCATTTCAATAGCAAAGTTCTATTTTTCAATTAACTTCTATGTGTTGCTTAACAAAAAGGATTTATGAATGGACAGACCTGGGAAAAGAAGACAATTTGATCACTGCCATAGTTCTCCAACTTTGGTTCTCACACATTTTTATGTTTCAATTCAACTCTCTTTCAGTTACATTCTTTCTCAAAAATTGGGTGATAACTAACAAGAAAGTGCTAGTTCTCACTGCAGGCACAAGCTCACTTCACGAGAAAGTGGAAACTATACAATAAACACATCTCTCACATAAATGTTCAAAATCCAAAAATGTCAAATTTCAGCATTTACCATCCTTCCTTTACCGGAGCTTTTTATTTTTATCCAAGTATAAGGGTATTAAGGAAATGTGCATCCTACAAGGAATGCCTGAGTTATGCTTTTATCTATTTTCCTCAGCTTCTTTCTTTAGATTTTGGCACAAGTCTGACTGTTCAATGAAATAAAAAAGCATTGCTATTTGTACCACTAGCCCGTATGCATTAGACTTCTATTCACTCTTGAAATAAACCTTTGATGAATTTCCAAGAGCATATATAGAAAATACTCACCATGAAAGACATCTCAACTGGTCCAGTATAAGATTTCGAGCGCACAGCTTCTAACTTCCCATAAACTCAATTCAGAACCTTGGTATTAACAATGTTATTATTGAAGTAAATGACTGTAGGTATTGCTTATAATCACTGTGACTCGTTCTCCAGTCACCATATGTTTCACTCTGAGTATCTAAACCAAATGGTAGATTATCACCTACACCACACTCAAGATTATCCAAAGTTCAGATCTTGTAAAGGCCATTAGCTAAGCTCAAAATAACACAAAGATGCAATATAAGCATATCCAGAAAATGATAAATTACCCAAAATCCTCAACCCCATCAACTGACATCGATTTAACCCCAAAGGACAAATCAAAAATCACATTGCCAACCAACGCAATGATAACTAAAACAATTGAAAGAAACTGAAAAAGACGAAGAAAGAAAAAAGCTCACCCTGGTTCATGAGATACCATGGAATGCCAAAGATGACTCCAAATATGGCGATGCCTGCAAAGACATGTTTCTTTTCACCGCTGTACAAATAGTGGTCTAACTTAGCCCTAAATCCCGCACCTCCAGCTGCACCGCCTGCTCCATTGCTGCGTTTCTTTGTGTCATCGCTCATTTTTCTACTGTTTTATTCAAGCACAACGAGATTTGCCCCTTTTTGTGCTGCTACCCTTTTACCTGTTTTAATTCGCTAAAGCTTAAACCCTTCCGATTTCTGAAGCTGTTTAATGGAAGGGTGTATTTTTGTGGTGTTTGCACCTGTATCGTGTTACACTAATATGTGATTTAGAATTAACACCTCATAAATCATAAATTGCAATAGGTGATTTGTGTTTGTAAGAGTTTTCAAATAACTATAAAAAAGATAAAAGAAAAAAATATTACATTTTATTATAAATAATCTTACATGAATTATAATAAGAATATTTATTTGTTTTCATTAGATATGTCATAAACTTTTTAAACTTATTTGTAAAGTGATTTTAAAATCCCCTAAATATTAATTCAGCGCACTGAGTCTAAGTAGCTTTTCATCATTCTTCTCTGGCGATAAAAACCTTTGCGACAAAGCCGAGCTTCTCAACCCAGCGAAGCCTTCCTTGGCGACGGCGCGGCTTCGGCTGGTGATCGCCTTTGACCGGCGGCCCCCTCAGCTGAACCCTGATGTTGTCGTAGTGCTCCGATGCTAGAAGGGATGTCGTGCCTTATGTCAACGGCGATTTCGCGGTGAGATGGGGCGAGCCTCTCGGTCGGCGATTGGGCTGCAATTGGTGCCGTTGATTGTCAGCTGGTCTCGATTGGAGGTAAGTTTTCTCTCCTGCTGCGTTTGGTCGTGATTTTTGGGGCTCCCCTCGGGCGGTGCGTTTTCTGGTGGGGCTCCGTTTTGGGGCTTTTCCGGTGGGGCTCCGTTTTGGGGCTTCTCGGCTTGGTGCAGGTGGATTGCGGTGAGGTTGACTGGATATGGGTCAGCAAGGGGGGTGGGACTCTGGCGTTGGGCGGGAGGTGGTCTCGCTGGCGTCAGGGTTGAGGGGCCACGACACCATCACCATCCTCTGTTCGGCTAGTGGTGTTAGGCGGCGGGGGTCCGGTCCATTCGAGTGCAACTAGTGGTGTTAGATGTGATCAGGGGGATCGTGTGTGAGGGTTGGCTTGGCTGTGGTTTCCTTTCGGTTAACGGCGGGTCGATTCGGGGATTCTTCTGGGATTTGGGTTCACCTACTGCTAGGCGTTCGTGCAGTTTCAGTAGCGGGACTTGGGCTCGGGATCTTTCTTGTGTCGATCGATCACTACTGGTTGGGGCGGTGTCGACTAGCTGAGGAAGGGCTAGTTTTAATTTGTCTCCTGATTCGTTTTTGTTTTCGTGTTTGTTTTGTCGGTTTGTTGGTGTTGTTGTTTGTGTTTGTTTTTCTTTTTGTTGTTGTGTGTTAGAATTGCCCCAGTGGGCTCGAGTGCAACTTAATTTTCCTGTTGGGAGCGCACTCGAGTATTCTCCTGTTGGGAGGGTTCTCTATTTTTATTAGTCGTTTTGTGGGTATTCTCCTGTTGGGAGGGTTCTCTATTTTTATTAGCCGTTTTGTAGTAGTGTTCGTTAGTGTTTTGTTGTGGTTGGTTTTCTCGCGTTGCGAGCTGTATTCCGTCTAGGTTGCATTGGTGATATTGTAACCTCTCAGTTACCCAGGATTCGGGCTTTGCTCTTACATTGCCAGTTGGCGTTTTTAATGAGAATTTTATGTCGTTGGAAAAAAAAAAGAGTCTAAGTAGCATATTTGCACGCTTCGAATTTTGATATGATAATCTTCCGTAATTTGATTTGTATATACATTATTGATTTAAAATCATGTTTGATATGTGGCATAAACAATTTATTGCAATTTTGAAAAGTATGAATTTATTTTGTCTCATTTATCTATTTCACAAATTAAATCTCACTATACGAAATTGATATTATTTATTTCTAATTTATTAATTTAAATATTTTAATAGTTAATAATTCTTTTAGTTGTATTCGATTTTTCAAACATAAGTTATCAAATTAATCAGTTTTTCACGATCTTGGATTTAATATTCATATCAACTTTTTTAGTATGCATTCAAATTAATTTCAAATATACGTTAAGATCTACAAATATTATTACAAATAATAATAATAATAATAATAATAATAATAATAATAATAACAACAACAACAACATATAAAATACGAAGTACTATAAACTAACATGTAAAATTTAACAGTTTTGATATGAAGCCAACAGTTGGCTCCAGCAAGACCGAAAATTTGATGCTTGGTTTGGAAAGTTGGAAACTCGCTTTTAGAACCAATTAGGGAAAGCGCATAATAAAGCGCACTCAAGAACACACACAATTTAAGTTTCACCCCCAACGCAGGAGTTGACAAATAAATGTAAGCATGAACTCTTCTTAGCACAAGAAGTTCCATGGCTCTAATTACCAGTGTAAGGAGACTCCATCGCCTATATTTACGCTTCCCTCACTCCTCTCCATCCCTCATTTTCATCCCATCAACGCCTCTGCCTTTCCCTGCAACTCATTTATCTCGAGCATTTCACCGAACACCTCACAGACCAGTTGAGCACGCGCCTCATTTCGAAAATTCTTACCAAATTGTCGACTTTTCTAAACAATTGGACGAAATCAAACAAGAAACTCAGTTGGAACTCCGTGGAATCCTCGAAAGAGCTGAAAAAGCCAAGGATTTTGCTTCCGGTGATGAAGCCATAGCCTTTCTCGACGGCTCCGGTGTCAAGCCCGATAATGATTTAATATTTTCAGCTATTTGGGCTTTGAGGGATGATTGGAAGTTGGCGTTCTTGGCGTTCAAATGGGGCGTGAAATGGGATTGTGTGGTCCAGAAGACTTGGTCTTTGATGGTGTGGTTGCTGGGCAACCATCAAAAGTTCGGCACGGCCTGGACTCTGATTCACGAGCTTCATCGTGATTCCAAGGATACCCAACAGGCGATGATGATTATGATCGACCGGTGAGAATAGAAAACACGGCTTTGAGAGTTTCATTATTCTGTTGTTTGTTGTTGGAAAATCTTTTGTGACCGAGTTCCTTGAATATTCTTTTACTACATTGGATTCAATTTCTATATCCGTAGTTGGAAGTACAAAAGGTTAATTTGTTTCGAATTTTGCAAATTGAACTTGTTTATGAGAGATGATTGTTCGTGTCATCACCTTGGCTTCTGCTAGTGTGTATGTGTTTGTGTGTGTTTTGAGTTGAAGAGAAAATAAGCAAACCACAAACTGTAGGTTTTGGAATTCATAGCAGTAAATGTGCCTTGTACATGCAATTATCGACTCATTTAGTTTGGCCTCACTAAGTTGAGTTGTATGAACCTATTCGGAATGTTGATTGCTTACTTGAAAACTTTTCTTCTGCAAATATAATTTTATATTACTTTCATAGAATCCTCACATAGCTGAAGCAATCAGTAGGGTTTAAGATTTATATTGTACTTGTATATTAATTGCTAATGGAATCTTGGGATGAGCACACGAACTGTGAAAAAATTCTCTCTTTTTTCTTCAATTGAACAGCAACGAACACCTTTCAATGTACAAAAACATTCCCATGGTTTCTGACTGAACCTTGTGACTTCTGTACTTTACCTTGGGACTTGGGACTGATGATGATATTTCTTCTTAGAAAACAACCAACGTGCTATGAATTGGATATTAATATTTGTTTGCACTGAAACATCCGTTGAGGTTGAAGTTCACGTTATGGAAATATTCGCAATATTATCTAGATGAATAATTCATTTCCGAACCACGATTTACGTCTCAAGCTCATTAGTTTTTCATCGTCTTGTTTTTGGCAACTCAACAGATACGCTGCTGCAAATTACCTAGACAAGGCCGTGCAGACATTCCATTTGATGCAAAAATTCAAGTTTACGCCCGAACAAGACACGTACCTCACATTCTTGAACATCCTTTGCAAGCATGGAAACATTGAAGAGGCCGAACAGTTCATGTACCTCAACAAGAAGTTCTTCCCGTTGGACTCAAAGGGCTTTAACGTAATTCTCGACGGCTGGTGCAACACAGCAAGAGACATAGTCGAAGCCAAGAGGGTCTGGCGTGAAATGTCCAAATGCTGTGTCATGCCTGATGCTACTTCTTACACGCACATGATCTCGTGCTACTCAACTGCACGCAATCTATTCGAGTCTTTAAGATTATATGACGAGATGAAGAAAAGGGGGTGGGTCCCAGGTGTCAATGTCTACCATTCGTTGATTTATGTGCTGACTCGTGAAAATTGCCTAAACGAAGCTCTTAAAATAGTAGACTGGATGAAAGTGGCCAGTTTTAAGCCGAATTCGACCACTTATCACCTTGTAATATGTGCCCTTTGCGAATCTTTGAAATTTGAGGATGCAAGAAATATTTTGGCTCGAATGATATCAGATGACCTCAGCCCAACAGTTGAGACTTATCATGCTCTGTTGAAGGGCGAGAGCTTAGAAGGGACTTTGGGCGTGCTCGGCTATATGAGGAAAGCAGGTTTGGGCCCCAGCAAAGATACGTTTTTTATTGTTCTTGATAAGTTCTTAAAAGAGGGCCAGCCCAAAAATGCGCTAATGATATGGTATGAAATGAAGGAGTACGACGTGAAACCTGAGTGCGGGCATTACCTGGTTTTGGTAGAAGGGTTGGCGAAAAATGGGTTGCTCGAGAAAGCCCGAGAAATTTACTCTGAGATGAGATGTGTTTCAACATTCGATGATCCGTCGCTAAAGAAGCTTCTAGATGAACAGGAAGTTTGTGGGGGAAAAGGTAAACGGGAAATGACAGTTGTGAGGAATATAAAGAAGGGCAAAGGTTTACGGTGTAGTAGAAATCGAATAAGTAGTGGGGCAAGGAGTAGAAAAAAAAGGCCAGCAGCTACGAGAAAATAAGTGGGAATTGTGAAAGAGAGGAAAAAAAAAAAACTAATTCTGGAAAAAGGTCATTTTCTTGAAAGAGCACCGGTTCTTTTGTTAGCTTGAGAAGAGTCCCAGAGTTGGTGGTCACTCTCACTTAGTATTTGATAAAATGAAACCTGTATTAGCAGAATATTTGATAAAATGAAACCTGTATTAGCAAAATAGTGATTTGCAACGTTGAGATTACTTTATTGCTATTAACTGTAATCACACATCAAACCATATAGGTTTGGGAATACAAGCTTATAAGGCCCTGATACAAACATATTACATAATAGTATAATACAAAACTTTATTCACTTATTGTGCAATCCGATACTGTAGTTAAGCTGACATTTGACATTTGATGCATATATAAATGCATACTTCAGATATTGCTTGCAAGATTATTAATTAGGTTGTGCAGTTGAACATTACGAGAGCCGGTTGGATGAGAATCTTCTCAATACGAAGTTGAGCTTCTTGCATTAAGTGCAAACCATCCCAAAATATGTAATTGTTTGGATCCGGGCAAACGGGCACACCTACACTCCCACAAAATCTTCCACTGTTGTAATTGTATCTCCCTCCAATTCCACAGCAAGCTCTAAGTGTATTGTCTCTGTTTGGCCCTGTTATTACCAGCAAATATAATACATAGTTTTTACTCTTTAGCTTTCAAGGGGAAAAAAATAATAATAATAATAATAATAATAATAAGGAATGAAATACAAAAATAACCTGCCAATGTCTGGTTAATATATTGTAGCACGCCTAGGCCGTAATCGGCATAAGTCACCTGAGGAAACTGGCTGGTAATACTTGCGAGCGCTTGTTGGAGATTGTTGTTTTTAAACGTAATGAGATCATTAACGCTTTTAAGACAACCGAATTGATCGTAAGCGTTGGGATCATTGCTTGGGAATTGAGTTAGAATGTAGGGATAGCACCCGATTGGAGAACTTCCTGGAACTATCATTCGACTGGCGCCCATTCTGATAAGTTCCTGCATCCATAATTCCATATATAACATTTTAAATAGTTACATTATTATTTATATTCATAATAATATTTTTCATTTATACATTTTCTGGTCTTATATCATAATAATTATTCTAATTCATATATAATGAATTTGTAGGTGACTTTTTGAATTGGTATATAATTTTATATTAGTATTAAAAATTGTTTAACTTTATAATACAGAAAAATAAAATTATTTATTTGATATGTTATATAACAACATCTGATACAAACGTTATTAGCTTTTAATATATTTATGATTTAAAAGTTGTCCGTTTTGTAATTTTAAAAATTCTATGCATAGAGTACAAATGTACATGGGCTACTCTGAATTACACTCTGTATTTAAGTTATGTTATGTAATGAATTTAATAGACAAGTTTATTTAATTGATAAGTAATTTTATCAATTTTCAATTAATATTAATATATAATTTATTTTTATTACAAAAGCAAATATATATATATATATATGTAATATGAATGTCAAATCGAAATTCGTTATGAGATGATTTATTTGATATATTATAAGTAAGAATCTGATAACAAACACGAACGTATTGATTTTTAAATATATTTGTAGTTTGAAATCGAGACATTTGGCATTACAATATTGAAGGAGATTTGATCCATTTTCTATAAATATATATACAAGAATGATGTGAAACTAATGTTAGTTACTTACCCTTACGACTTGTATTTGATTCTCTATTATACGAGGCACGTAAGTCCGCACTTCGTCGATGGATTTATTTTGAGTCAGTGCGTAGCCAATGTCATTGGCTTCAATATCCCCCAACAGTACAAGAGAATTTGCTAGCCTATTTCTACATTCTGCTAATATCTATACTTATATAATAAGAATTAACATTTATCAAAATTAGTAACTTAATTAATGGTCAAAGTCAGTTTTACATTTATTACTTTCTAAAATCGGTAACTCTTATGTCCATTTCACACTATGTCCTTTTCACATGTCTTTTAAACTCATTAATTATACCGATTTAATTCTCATGAAATAACCCCAATTCACACGCCTCATTAAAAGCGTCCTTATGGCATAATTTTTTATGGTAACGAAATAATCCCATTTCACACCGCATCCTTATCACATATTTTTTATGGTAACCCTTTTTAAACATATTTTTTTAACGATAAATTGAAGAAAAAAAATCGTATTATAAAGAAAAGATATCTGGAATAATTTTAAGATTCAAAAACAAAATCTTATAAGATATTTCATACACCTTATCATTAATGATAAAAAACTAATATTAAGTTTGTTATTCATTTCCTAAAACAAATACACGTGTTGAATTATTATCTCTAAGAAAACTATACAGAACATACGCATATATATATGTACATATACACATATTAAATTTAAATATAGACATATTTTCTTTACAAAATAGTCTAGAAAAATCTTTTCTTCTTAGATATGTTTTCCTTCTAAAATTGTTTAGAAAAGTTGTAGATGACTTCACATCTTTCAAAAATAATATAGAAAATTTTGAATACTTTTTCATATATACTAATATAATATTTTAGATGTTTTTAATATTAAACATGCAAATTTTATATTCTCTTATACAAAATAATATAAATTTCATATTTTCTTATACAAAATAGTTTTATATTGTTTGACCCCGAATCTTTAATTTATAATCATTAAGTATTGTTTATCCTCCTCTTTACTTTATAATTATTTTTTTTCTTTCTCTTTTTAAATAGGATCAATAGTAGTTTCCACTTCCGTCAGTGACTCAAACTCGAGATCTATTTATAATATTGTTAATTTAATATTGTTCCCGTGCATCGCACGGGGTACACACTAGTTATATTACAAATACAAATTAAATATATGTGAGTGCCTCTGATATATGAAGGTCACAAATATACATCCATATTCTTCCCGACTGAAGCTACAGTTAAATTTTTTTAAGCGATTTAATCATTGAAAATAAAATCAGTGAGAATTGAAGAAGTATATATTTCGTTAGCAATTCAGTAATTTAGGAAATTAACAAATTAACGCGTATCGATGGATTTTTTGCTAACCTGCCTCTGATGCGCAAACGGATCTTAGATGTGTTTTGAACCAATGTAGTTGACTATTAAGAGAAACAGCATACGATGGGATGATAATGTCTTTTAATAAAAAGAAACTTCTGTCCAAAACTGGACTTCTTGCTACTGAAAATATGACTCCGTTGCTAGTGCTCGAATTTCGGGCCAAATAAGGCACGATGTTTGGAAAGCCAAAATCAGCAGCTGCATGCAAAATGAATGTAGGAGAGTATCCATCACAACATAATGCTCCACATTTATAAATCGTCGGTCTTTCATACTATTCTATTGATTTTATTATTTCGTAATCTATTGTACGTTTTTCAAAACACCAACACTACATGATATATAAATATAATAGCAATTGAGTAAATAATAACACTATATGACATTATAGATAGTATCATATACAATTAAATATCATTATATACTTTTGTCACCGTTCTCATACCAGAACCTAGTGTTATTAGAACCCTACTCTGTGTAGGATATGTTAATATATAAACACGTAGCTTGTTATTCTATATTTATTTTGTAGAACATTTAAAATCATGTCAATATTGTTTTTTCATTGTTTATTGCCATATAAATAAAATGTGCAAAGGAATAAAATTTCCCCCAAAAATGCATATTTATTTTCCTATACCTGCATAGTCAAAATCAATAAGACCATCACACCATCGACCAGTAGGATAACCGGGAAAGGTTCGACCATAAGGCAAACGTGCGGCCGGATTTAAAGGTCCTAAAGGAAGAACACGGATATTGTTGCCGATGTCTGTAACTCCATCACCAAGATGGTATAAATAGTTAAATGGGCATACGGTATTATTTTGTGATGAAACTGTACTAGCAAAAATGAAGAGAAAAGTAAAAGCGAGCTTAATAAAATAGGAACAATAATTATCCATAATTAGTAAATAATTTGCTATTTATCTTCTCAAATGTGTTTGTTATTGCATTCACTTGTTTGTAGTTTTGTACTCAGAACAATTCTGTTTCATGCAGTATATATAGGCAAAGGATTAGTCACCAAATTGGAATTTGGTATTCATTTAATACGTATAGCCACATCGTTACGTGGTAGACTTAACTGGCGTACGTAGATCTGACCTTTTACAATTTCAAATTAGAGTTTCATGTATTGTAAATTCTAAAAATAAAAACAACCATTCACTACAAAAAAAATTGTTATTTTCCAACGAAAAATCTTATGGTAATATATTCCAATAGAAATTTCAACGGATATTCCAATGGTATAACTTCCGTTGGAATCATTCCAACAGAAATTTCAATCATTCCAACAGAAATTTCAACGAAAGTATTCCGTTGGCATGTTTATTTCATTGGAATTTTAGATGAAATTTGATGATATTTTTATCCATATTTTTTGACATTTTAAATTATACAACTTGGATAACTTAATTTATAATTGTATTTAAAAACTTATTGAAAACTTAATTTTTTATTTCTTATCAGTTTTTCATATATGATATATTAAATTAATAGTTTAGTATATAAAATAGAAATTAAATATATTTGTTATAATAAAAACTTATATATCAATCTTAATTAAAAATTTCTAAATTTATTATCTATCATTGAATAAATTTTGTATGTCATGCATTTATATTATATGAGCTAGAAGAATTATTATAATCTAATATGAAGGAGTTAGGGATGATGGGTGCCATTTTATTTAAAGTAATGATGCAATTTGTAAGGAGTATCTAAATTTTAAAATAATTACAAAATTTTGAATTAACACTTGTTTAATAGACTAGTGGTGTAATGGTACTAGTATATTATAAATTTTGACATATTGGGAAATTCTCGTAGCCCATCTTAATGGCGTACGATTGTTAAGATGGGCAGGAACTCTGACTTAGTTATTTGTATATTTATTGTTTTTTTAGAAACGTAAACGAGTGAATTAAAGATACTACTTAAATTAATATATAGACTTATTTCTTTTTTCATTTTGAGTAGAAAATGTCCTGATAAGTTGATATTAAAGATGGTGGCAACTGGCAATATACATATAAAATTTGGGAACCATAGCCTTCCCATTTGTTTGACGAGAAAAGTGCATTTTTCGTCCTGTAAGTTTACCCCTCTGAACAATTTAGTCCTCTTCGAATAGTCAATTTGAGTTTCGTCCTCTAACTTTAAAAAAAGGTTGCAGATTCGTCCCCGACTCGCCGGAAACCCGTTAATTGGCCGGAAACACGCACGTGATGGAAATTAACGGCTCTTTAAGCCTACGTGGAGCCGGATTTCCCACACTGGCGACCTTATTTACACGTGGAGGACGGAAAATAAACGAAAAAAAAAAAAAAAAATTCACGCACCGAAACACGTAGATTAGGAGGGAAAAACAATGAAAAGGCACGAAAACTGAACAGACATCCCACTTCTTCCCACAGTCTCATCGCGTTCCCAAATCCAAATTCTCTCTGGAAAAAAAAACCCTCAATCGTTCCCAAGTCCTAAAGCCAAAAAAATCGAAATCTCAAAATCAAGTATTGAGAAGCAAGAATTCAAATGATTCCTGAGAAGGTGTTCATCCGGAAGAAGATTCGTATGCACAATGGACCTCCCACATATGTTCAGTGATATTTTTTTGTTTGTTTATGGAAAATTCGTGCAACGGAATGTTCATTTTTTTATGAAGATCCCTAAATTCGAGGTAAAAATAGTTCATTTTTTAAAGTTCGTACAATTAAAATGAAATAAGGATCTAAATTTCGTACATTGTAATGAAATTAGGTGAAGGAAAATTTCGAAGGTGAAAGAAAATTAGGGTTCTTGAACGAAATCGACAATTTTGAAGAACAAAATCAACAATTTTCAAAATTAGGGTTCTTGAAGATTTGGGGATCTTGTGATTTGGAAAAATAGGATTGAAGGAGGATGAAAATGATTCAAAATCAGAAAACCCGTTTCATTTTATGCCCGGTTCTTTCCCAAGTGTTTCGGCACGTGGAAATTTTTTTTTTCGTTTATTTTCTGTCCTCCACGTGTAAATAAGGTAGCCAGCGTGGGAAATCCAGCTCCACGTAGGCTTAAAGAGACGTTAGTTTCCATCACGTGCGTGTCACGTGCGTGTTTCTGGCCAATTAACGGGTTTCCGGCGAGTCGGAGACGAATCTGCAACCTTTTTTTAAAGTTAGAGGACGAAACTCAAATTCGCTATTCGAAGAGGACAAAATTGTTCAGAGGAGTAAACTTACAGGACGAAAAATGCACTTTTCTCTTTGTTTGATCCTCAACTTGCGGAGTTATGATAATTATCTGTTTTCCCTCTAAAGCTGACAAAAATTCTTGGAATGTAATTTTAAATAAATAATTAGGACTTGTAATCTGCTGTTGGATTACGTATGGCCTTTCGAATGCGATTATTTAGGAGACGATTTTTTATTTTAAAATTATATTTTAATTTATGTTTTACTAGTGTGTACCCCGTGCGATGCACGAGAACAAAATTAAATTAACAATATTATAAATAGACCTCGAGTTTGAGTCACACAATAGCGGAAATGGAAACTACTATTGATCCTATTTAAAAAGAGAAAGAAAAAAAATAATTATAAATTAAAGAGAAGGATAAACAATACTTAATAATTATAAATTAAAAATTCGGGTCAAACAATGTAAAACTATTTTGTATAAGAGAATATGAAATTTACATTATTTTGTATAAGAGAATATAAAATTTGTATGTTTAATATTAAAAGCACCTAAAATATTATATTAGTATATGTAAAAGTATTCAAAATTTTCTATATTATTTTTGAAAGATGTGAAGCCACCTACAACTTTTCTAAACAATTATAGAAGGAAAACATATCTAAAAACATTTGAATTTAACATGTGTAAAAAAAAGATTTTTCTATACTATTTTGTAAAGAAAACATGTCTACAAATATTTAAATTTAACATCAATTATGTATATATATATATATGTATATATAGACGAATATGTAAAAAAAAAATGTCTAAATAATTTGTTTAAAATATCTAAAATATTATAAGACATGTCAGATACCGAATTTATGGCGTTACTTCCATCTAAAAAATTTGATTACACACCATTATTATTATACTTTTTACGTTGTTATCGAGGATGTATTGTTAGCTTATAATATTTGTAAACATATTAGTAATTAGACCGATGAAAATTAGCTTTTTAAAGTAGATAATGGATTTCTAGTAGTAATTATGAATTGGTTTTTATTTTATTTTTTTTTTTAAATCTTTATAGATAAGAGATGAGATTTTTTAAAGACGTACGCAATGGGATTTTGTAACAGATAAGAAATAAATTCTAGATTTATGCTGTGAGATTTTATAACACGATTTTCAATACCCAAAAAATAGGAAAAAAGAAAACAGATTCTAACACAATTAATCGGCCGATGTTGTTGCCTTATCAATATTGTCCAACAATTACTATATATAGGATACAAGAAAACAGATTCTAACACAATTAATCGGCCGATGTTGTTGCCTTATCAATATTGTCCAACAATTACTATATATAGGATACATTTAATGTATTTGGCGGGAAAACATTTCTAAAATTGTAAAAAGGTTATTCTTTTAATATAATGATAGATTCTATTAAATGCATGATACATATTCATGATGACGATGATTCACAAGTTTTGAAATAGAAGATCTTCTCCCGAAAATAAAACTCGTAAATTCGGTCCAAATCTCAAGTTCACGTCCCCACCGTCAAACATTTTAAGAAATTTCTTTCTTATTCACTTCATTAGAAAATCAAAATTATTACATAAGCTTCGAGTACAGGCGGATTGGTGCTGACCAACGGAAACAGTATTTATCTATAAAGTGAGGAGTTCCAATCGTAGAAGAAACCTGAGGTGGATTTTCTACTTATCAATTCCAAATGGTAGGAGCTTCCTTGTGGTTTTAGAGTAATATAACTGCAAGAACTTGAGCCTCAATTATGGCATATATCACGGTTTAATCTCTAAGTTTGGGGTTTAGAATTCAGACTAGTTAGACGCAAGTTTGGATACTGATAATAAAAACAAAATTATTATATATGTAACCACCATAAAGTAAAGATTTAAAAAAAAAAAATGAATATCTGAAAATTTGTTTCATTTTTGTAGTACTTTTAACCTTGATATTGCTTGAAACACATTAGTGTTATGTATATAGTTTATTCCTCATGGAAATAGTATTTGAAACTATATGTTCAATAATTCAATCTAGCTGTTTTGACTTTTATTCGTTGTATAGGGTTATCAATAATTCAATCTAGGGATTTTGACTTTTACTCCTTGTACAATATTGCATAATGAAAAAAATGAATCAGAGTAGAATGTACGTGTGTAAAAACATTAAATATAAGCAGAAGCGACAATTAAAAATTTGGCTTCGCGAAGCGTCCCACCATCCGTCAGAACTTTTTCATTAGCAAGTGTTGTCTCAATCCTACTAATTACTTCCTTGGCCACAACGTAGACTAGCGGCTACTACTGAAATCAATCCAACCTGATAATATTCAAAAGTACAAAGGTAGGTGCTTCAATCTTTTAGAGATGCAGGAACGCAAAATTGATATCCTCAATTCACAAAATACAAAATATAATCAATAAACCCATGCTTTAGTTTTATGTTGCTTGGGGACAAACAACGGTTTAAGTTTGGAGAGATTTGATAAGTCGAAAAATGTGCGTATTTTATATCTTTAATAATGTATTTTTATACACTTAATTTATTGGCACGTTTAGATTTTTTTGACTTATTTATTATTTGGATGGATTTATTTGCTTTCATTATTTTATATTCATTTTCAGCGCATTGGAGTATTTTATGGAGCAAAGCATTGTACGAAAATTTACGCGATCAGTTATCGAGCACTCCATATCGGCCCAATTACAGTTCAATTGATAAGAAAATTAAATCCAAAGCCACATAGTTAATTAAGGGCTAGTGAAATTCGTCAAGACATTGGGCTGGACTTTGTTAATTAAAAGCCGTGAGGGTGGAATTAATTGGGCGGAGAGAAGCCGCACGCACACGAGGGAGATCTTCATTCTCTCTTTTATCTTTTATTTATTTTTATTAGCATGTTAGGCAAGAATTTTTATCCAGTTTTAGGGGATGTTTGAATCCTAACTTTGATTTGTCTCTAAATTGAAGGATCTTTATTTATGATTGATTAATCTAGACGCCGTATTTATTTATGTTGATGAGTTGATTCATGTTATCTATGTTTAATGTTTATGAATTATGGTGTTTGATTTAGTTTGGCCAACTACGTTAAATATTCATAGTTTAATTGCTAGATTCGGGACTTTAATCCGTAATTGTTATTGTCTTGTTTTCGTTAGTAGTAAACTAGGAGTCGTGCATCTCTAGGGTAGCGTGAACATAAGTTAAATGGTCCGAGCTTTTGTGTCCGTTGCTTAGACTAATCTATTTTCCTAAAAATTAATGTTGCTAGTGCGCTAAATCTAGAGAGCTTATTTTAGGTTGTCCACTAGTTAGGTTTAGTCGAAGAGCCTATTTCGATTAAATATTCGGTAAGGGAAAATTCGGTTATAGAGCTTGTTGTTAGTTAGGGTTGGTAATTCGTCGACAATTTAGAGAAAGCGTCGAAATTAATTAACGGTAGATTCAGATTGGATGACAACTAAACCGAAAATTGGACTTTTCTTATTTTATTTTTATTTTATTTTATTTTATTTTATTATTGTTATTTTTATTCTTATAAAATCAATCCCCCCACTCTTTTACTGCTTTCTTAGTTTAAGTTCAATTAATACGAGAATTGTCACAATTTAATTCCTACTCCTCGTGGGATCGACCCTTACTCGCCGCTACTACTAGTTAGTAGAGGTTAGTCGAGGAAAGTTTATAAATTCAAATTTGCCGCGTTGCGACGCGCGGTCATGTGGAGACTGCAGTCAACCAAAATTCGAATCTTTTCTCTAAAGCTTGCATTTTTACTCAATTGCTTTCAAGTGCTTTTAATTCTTAGTTGCAATTAGCTTAAAAATCAACCCCTCAATTGTGCTTAGAATGGTTAGAAATTTATTTTTCATTTTTGTGCGTGTGACAACTAATACTTAGACAAAGTTCCGAATCGTCTTCCTTTGAGAGACGACCCGAGTGAGATCACTCGACATACCCGACTAAAAACAATTAAACACTCGGTTCTAGGATCTTTATATTTTTCTTGCTTGCTTAAGTGAATTAGAAGTTGAATTTATGCTTATATTGTATTAAAGGTTAAGACTTTATGCAAAGCCTGATCATTTAGATAAAAGGCTCGATTTAATTACCTAGAATCTTATTACTAGCATGTTTCTATTTGTTCTATTTTCGTTTTTATCACGTCGAGGAGACTCCGGATGACCAAAGTTTCAATCTTTTCTCTCAAAGCATGCATCTTTATTCTATTGCTTTCAAGTTCTAGACTAAATTAGCTGAAATCCAATCCCAACCATCTTGCTTAGTATGTTTAGAACTTTGTTTTCTCTTTTTATGCTTTGGACCCATGTTTTAAATACCGTACGGTACCGGCCGATATACCGGTAATACTGGATACCGGTGGTCCGACCGGTACGGTTACACTTAAAATACCGTTTTGGCCAAATACCGGTTTATACCGATTTCATACCGGAAAATACCGATTTTAGCGGCCAAAACACCGGTTTATGCCATTTTTTTTTAAAAAAAAATATTTTTTAATATATTTTCATTAATTTATTTAGTTTTCATAACCTTGATAACAACATATAAAACAAACTAACATGTAAAATTTGATGCTTTGGCTTGGAAAGTTGGAAACTCGCTTTTAGAACCAATTAGGGAAAGCGCAATAATAAAGCCCACCCAAAAGCACACACAATTCAAGTTTCACCCCCAACGCAGGACTTGACAAATATGTAAGCATGAACTCCTCTTAGCATAAGAAGTTTCATGGCACTAATTACCAGTGTAAGGAGACTCCATCGCCTATATTTACGCTTCCCTCACTCCTCTCCATCCCTCATTTCCATCTCATCAACCCCTCTGCCTTCCCCTGCAATTCATTTATCTCGGGCATTTCACCGAACACCTCACAGACCAGTTGAGCACGCGCCTCATTTCCAAAATTCTTACCAAATTGTCGACTTTTCTAAACAATTGGACGAAATGAAACAAGAAACTCAGTTGGGACTCCGTGGAATCCTCGAAAGAGCCGAAAAAGCCAAGGATTTTGCTTCCGGTGATGAAGCCATAGCCTTTCTTGACGGCTCCGGTGTCAAGCCCGATAATGATTTAATCTTTTCAGCTATTTGGGCTTTGAGGGATGATTGGAAGTTGGCGTTCTTGGCTTACAAATGGGGCGAAAAATGGGGTTGTGTGGTCCACAAGACTTGGTGTTTGATGGTGTGGTTGCTGGGCAACCATCAAAAGTTCAGCACGGCCTGGACTCTGATTCACGAGCTTCATCGTGATTCCAAGGATACCCAACAGGCGATGCTGATTATGATCGATCGGTGAGAAAGCTTTGAGACTTTCATTATTCTGTTGCTTTGAGACTAAATAATATTTAACCGTTTACATTTTGATACTTAGTTATTTTGACAACAATCTCTGTGTAATACGACCTTGCTCGCAACTCACTATAGCTATACCGTACACTTGCGGATAGTGAAAATATTTTGCGAACACTAACTTTTCAACTATAAGTCATAATCTATAAGATATAAGCTCGAAAATTACATATAAGCTATAAGCTAGCTTATCAGCTATCAGTTAGCTTATCAACTAGTTTTATCAAACATAGCCAAATATATGTACATAAACTAATATATATGTGTGCAGAGAATTTGGTGCAAATAATAATGTAAGAACTGTTGGAACACTATTTTTAATTATATGTAGTGTTATGTCTATTGTGTTTTGTGCTATTATTAGTCAATATTTACTTTTTTCAAAATATCAACATTACATATATAATAGCAATTGAGCAAATAATAACACTATATGACATTAAAGAGTGTATCATATACATTTAAATAACACTATATATTGTTGTCACGATTCTCTACCGAAACTTAGTGTTATTAGAACCCTACTTTGTGTAGGACATATTAATAAATGCATATAACAACGTGGATTGTTATTCTACATTCATTATGTAGACCATTTAAAATTGTCACTATTGTTTTTTTACTGTTCCATTCATATTGCCATAAATAAAATGTGCAAAGAAATAAAATTTCCCCCAAAAAATGCATATTTATTTTCGTATACCTACATAGTCAGAGTCAATAAGAACATCACACCACCGACCAGTAGGATAACCAGGAAAGGTTCGACCATAAGGCAAATGTGCGGCCGGATTTAAAGGTTCAAAAGGAACAACACTGAATTTGAAGAAGCATTTTCTACTATTTTGTGATGAAACTGTACTAGCAAAAATGAAGAGAAAAGCAAAAGGGAGCTTAATAAAATAAGAACAAGAATTATTTATAATTAGTTAATTTGCAATTTATCTTCTCGAATGTGTTTGTTGTTGCATTCGCTTGTTCGTAGTTTGTACTCTGAACAGTTCGATTCCATGCAGTATATATAGGCAAAGGACAAGTCACCAAATTGGAGTTTGGTATTCATTTAATACGTATAGCTAGCCACATCGTTATGTGGTAGACTTAACTGGCGTACGTAGATCTGACCTTTTACAATTTCAAATTAGAGTTTCATGTATTGTAAATTCTAGAAATAAAAATACTCATTATAGAGTTTAAGAGTTTCTCTAAACATATAAATGAACATTAATTTTCAAGTCGATTAGAGTAGTCATATAAATATGACTTTTATCCATATTTATTAGACATTTTAAATTATACAATACTTGGATAACTTAATTTATAATTGTATTTAAAAACTTATTGAAAACTTAGTTTTTTATTTTCTATCCGTTTTTCATATATGATATATTAAAATTAGTAATTCAGTATGTAAAACAAAAATTAAATATACTTTTTTTTTATAATGAAAACTTATATATCAATCTTAATTGAAAATTTCTAAATTTATTATCCATCTTTTAATAAATTTGTAGGTCATGCATTTATATTATATGAGCTAGAAAATTTTATTTTAATCTAATATGAAGGAGTGAGGGATGATGGGTGCCATTTTATTTAAACTAATGATGCAATTTGTATGGAGTATCTAAATTTTAAAATAAAAATACCTGTTATTATTTTAGAATAATTTTAATTACAAAATTCTTAATTAACACTTATTTAATAGACTAGCGGTGTAATGGTACTAGTATATTATCAATTTTGACATAATGGGAAACTCTCATAGCCCATCTGATATGGCGTAGGCTTGTTAAGATGGGTAGGAACTCTGACTTAATTATTTGTATATTTTTTATTTTTTAGAAACGTAAACGAGTGAATTAAATATACTACTTAAATTAATATATAGACTTATTTGTTTTTCCATTTTGAGTAGAAAATGTCCTGATGAGTCGGTGTATATTAAAGATGATAGCAATATACATATATATTTGACCCTCAACTTGTGGAATTGTGATAATTAAAGTGTTTTTTTCCTTCTAAAGCTGATTAAAGATCTTGGAATGTAACTTCTTAAATAACTAAAGCTGATTTTAGGACTTGCAATCTGCTGTTGGATTCCGTGTGGCCTTGGAATGTGATTATTTAGGGGACGATTTTTTTATTTTAAAATTATATTTCAATTTACGTTTTATTCCATTAAATACATGACACATATTCATGATCGATAATTCACAGGTTTCGAAATCGAAGATCTTCTCTCGAAAATAGAACTCGTAAATTCGGTCCAAATCTCAAGTCACCGTCAAACATTTTAAGAAATTTCTTTCTTATTCACTTCATGAAAAAAATCAAAATCATTACACAAGTTTCGGGTACAGACGGATTGGTGCTGACTAATGGAAACAATGGCCCCGTTCGGTAGATAGCGGATTGAAGGTAAATTAGCGGATTAGACTTAATTGAGAGGTTTGACCCGTCAAATCCGCTATTGAGCTTGTTTGGTAAATAACTTATTTGATAAGCTTTTTGGACTCAAAACTCTAATTTAGAAAAAGCTCATTAGAGCAGCTTTTTGGGATAGAGGATTCACAATTGAGAGGTTTTACTTATAACTTTTAATTTGTCTTATTTATTTTACAATCTACATTGGTTTATAGAGCTAATAAATAATAATATGTCATCCATATGATTAATTTATCTAGAAAAATATAAAATTCATAACTTCTTCATCAAGTGTTAATAAATTTTAAAAAAATATATATATTTATAAATTACCAACTAAAGAATATTAAATGTTTTAATATATTATTATTAAAAGAATACACCCTAAATAATAAAATATCCTTATTGGTCATTTTGCAATGTCAAACAGCTATAAGTTTTCAGCTATTTACCAAACACTTATTTAAAAACCGCTAATGCAATCTGCTGGTCAAATCAGCTAATATAATCCGCTATTCGCTACCCGCTGATATAATCCGCTATCAGCTATCTGCTATCCGCTGATCGCCAAACAAGGCCAATATTTATCCACAAAGTGAGGATTTCCAATCGTGGAAGAAACCTGAGGTGGATTTTCTACTTATCAATTCCTAATGGTAAGAGCTTCCTTGTGGTTTTGGAGTAATATAATTACAAGAACTTGAGCCTCAGTTATGGCATATATCACTGTTTAATCTCTAAGTTTTTTAGGGGCTCGGGGTTTAGAATTCAGACTAGTCAGACGTAAGCTTGGATACTGAGAATGAAAACAAAATTATTATGTAATCACCATAAAGTAAAGATTCAAAAAAAGAAAAATTGAATATCTAAAAATTTCCTTTTCATATTCCCGTTTCATTTTTTGTAGTACTTTTAACCTTATAGTACAGATATTGCTTGAAACACATTAGTGTTATGCATATATTTTATTCCTCATGTATAGAAATAGTATTCGAACGTATATGTTCAATAATTCAATCTAGCTGTTTTGACTTTTATTCCTTGTACTGGGTTATCAATAATTCAATCTAGCTATTTTGACTTTTACTCCTTGTATAGTATTGCATACTGAAAAAGATGAATCAGAGTATAATGCACAACGTGTGTAAAAACATTAAATATAAGTCGAAGCGACAATTAAAATAGTTGGCTTCGCGAAGCGTCCCACCATCTGTCAGAACTTTTTCATTAGCAAGTCGGTTGTCTCGATCCTACTAACTACTTCTTTGGCCACAATGTGGACTAGCAGCTACTACTAAAGTCAATCCGACCTGATAATATTCAAAAGTACAAAGGTAGGTGCTTCAATCTTTCGGAGATGCATGAGCGCAAAATTGAAATCCTCAATTCACAAATTACTAAATATAATCAACAAACCCACGGACTCTCAGATAATAGACTAACTCAATAAGCCCCGGAGAGAATAACAAAACTTAGCTCTTATCTCTTGAGACTTTGCTTAAAGCTTGATCATTTAGATTAAAAAAGCTCGTGTTAATTGCCTAGGAACTTAGTGCTAGCATGTTTTTCTTTGTTTATTTGCGTTTTTCTTGAGTTGTGGAGACTCCAGTCAATCAAAATTCCCATCTTTTCTCTTAAGCTTGCATTTTTACTCGATTGCTTTCAATTCTCAGTTGTAATTAGCTTAAAAATCAACCCCTCAATCGTGCTTAGAATGATTAGGAATTTATTTTCTATTTTTGTGCTTTCGACAACTAATACTTAGACAAAGCTCCGAATCGTCTTTCTTTGAGAGACGACCCGAGTGAGGTCATTTGACGTACTCGGCTAAAAATAATTAAACACTCGGTTATAGGATCTTTATATTTTTCTTGCTTGCTTAAGTGAATTAGAAGTTGAATTTGTTCTCATCTTGTATTAAAGGTTAAGGCTTTATGTAAAGCCTGGTCATTTAGGTAAAAGGCTCGATTTGATTACCTAGAATCTTATTGCTAACATGTTTCTCTTGGTTCTATTTTAGTTTTTATCGCGTTGAGGAGACTCCAGATGACCAAAGTTCCAATCTTTTCTCCCAAAGCTTGCATCTTTATTCTATTGCTTTCAATCCCAACCATCTTGCTTTCGACAATGTTTAATGTATTTTTATGCTTATTTTCGTGTGTTTTATGTACCTTAGTCGAGTCTTTTTAGGTTCGTTTTAGTGTTGACCGGTCCATTTCATTGTATTTCATGTACTTTTGCGTTCGTTTTTTGTCTTTTGTGTTTTGTCATATTTTTCTGGTCTTTTTGGTGTTCATTATGTCCATTTTTCTGAGCTTTGAAACACGAGCCGACCGAGCTGTCCCGGGCCATGACCAAGTCCGTGCTCGCGTAGCCCTGTCAACGCCTGTGACTCGCGCCCAGGCCCGCGCGCTCGCGAGCGCCATGTCACCCTGCGCCCAGGCCCACGACCCCGCGACACGCGCCCAGGCCAGCAACCACGCGAGTGCAGCACCTGCCAGCCCGCGACCAGAGGGCCGTTTAGCTACATCGAGAGTGTTTTTGACTAAATGTGTGTGTTTTTAGTGTGTGTGTGTGTGTGTATGTGGTGTAACTATAAATATACATTGTGCTTTTTGGTTTTTGGACATCATCCCTCATTTCCCAACTTTTTTATTGGGAAATTAGCTCTTTTTCTCTCTTTTATTTTTATGCTTTGGTGTGGAGGTCCAAGACTTGACATTTTTCGGTGAAATTCCGACGACTTCATTTTCATCAAAGACTTGACATTTTCCGGTGACATTTTGGTGTGGTTTTGTGGATTGATGACTAGATAGTGAACGAAACTCCGAACAATCTTCCTCGAGAGACACAACCCGAGATCGATCTTTTGATTGTACTCGGCAAAAAAAAGAAAAAAAACGACAAACAAATAACTAACGAGTGAACGAAGCTCTGAATCACCTTCCTTGAGAGACGGCCCAAGTGAGGTCTTTTCATCATACTCGACTAAAAAGATCTAAATAGAGGCCCGAACGATGAAACAGCACGTGGAACACTCGCATCGAGTCCCGTCCCGCGATCGCGCGAGAGAGCCCGCGAGACTCGAGCACTCGCTGCGTGGCTCATTCTGCGACCGCGCAAGTCGAGACCCGTGGAGACCCGACACTCACAGCGAACGGCCGCTCGCAAGGCCGTGAGTCCAGGCGCGACCTGTTCAAGCTTGGCACTTGCGGTGAACACCATTCCGCGAGATCGCGAGTGCAGTTTTGTCATTAAATGTATGTAAAAGAAATATATGTTTTTCGTATTAGTATAAATAAATTTAGTTTCTTTGTGTGGAAGGATCTAGACTTCATTTTTATCACTTTTCCCTTTTGGGAATTAATTATTTTCCTTATTCTTTCCACTTTTATGTTTGGGAGCTCCAAGACTCGACTTTGTCCGATGATGCCTTTTTTTATTAAAGTTTCCACCTTTTCGCATTAATTTTGTCCGAGCTCGCAAAAGAAGAGTAAGTAGCTTTCTTAGGACTTATTACTTCGATTTTTGGTCCTTCTTGCTTATGATGTTATTCAAGGTAAAGTTGGTGTCTTGGCCGGAATCATGTGCCTAGTCTCGGTTTTAGGATCTTTTTATTTTCCTTGCTTGCTTAAGTGAATTAAGAGTTGAACATTCTTATCTTGTGTTAAAGATTAAGATTTTATTTAATGCTTGATCATTTAGGTAGAAGGCTTGATTTAATTTCCTAGAACCTTATTGCTAGCATGTTTCTCTTTGTTTTATTTTCATTTTCTCAAGTCAAGAAGACTCCGGGTGACCAAAGTTCTAATCTTTCTTCCAAGCTTGCATCTTTTATTTAACTGCTTGTTAGTTCCTTAGTCTAAATTAGTTTAAAAATCCCCCAGTTAATCGATTAGCATGTTTAGGACTTTATTTTCTCTTTTTGTGCATTTGACAATGAACTAAATGAACTAAGCTCTGAATGGCCTTCTTTGAGAGAAAACCCGAGGTTCAGATAACTCGGTTATCAATCTATTTTCCTAAAAATCAACTAAACAGGGGGTTGGCTAGTGGGCTACTCCTCTCATCACCATTTGGTTTTGAGATGGAACCTCAAGGACTCACAAGTGAGTGGGCGTGTTGGAATATCACTTGTGAGTTGTTCTAAATTGATTTTATAGGAAACGAGCTTAGCTTATAAGCTTAGTGAGCTACTTCTCTCATCAAAATTGGTTTTGAGATAGAACCTCACTACGCATGGCCTCAAGGAGGGGGCTGAGCCTAGCTTATAAGCTTAGTGGGCTACTCCACTCATCACCAATTGGTTTTGGTGTGAAACCTCAAGGACTCACAAGTGAAGGGGCGTGTTGGAATATCACTTATGAGTTGTCCCACATTGATTTTGTGAGGAAAATGAGCCTAGTGGACTACTCCTCCCATCACTAATTGATTTGGGATGGACCTCACTATGATGCACCTAGGCTCACCCTCTTATGGTGATGAGATGGAACCTCACTAGGTGCACCTAAACTCACTCTCTTATGGTACGCTTCACATATGTGGGACTGCACCCTCTTCCCCCAATTTTATAAATCTAATAATAGGAAATACAATTTATGTTATAAAATGTAATACTTCTATTTATATATTTTTTTAGAGCGTATGGTATTTTAGTTTGAGAATATGATATATTAGTTGTAGATTTATGTTCCTCTGCATGTTAGGTTTGCCTCAATCTGTACAAATATTCAGCGATGAATAAGACAATATACAAAGGGAAACACAATAGAAAAAAATCATCCTAGCGACATTGAAGTCATACTNAAAAAGAAAAAAAAAGAAAAAAAAAACAATCAAATATCACGCGGATCAACAAATATAACTGAAGAAGACACCGAAGACCTATACCATTCATGGTAATTATTTTCCTTAACTTGCCCAAAAAGTGGCTTTATGCACCAAACATCCTCGTCCCAAGAAAGCTTCTTCCAATGTGGAATGGCCTCTCTTACAGGGTCCATTTGCCCTACCTCGGCCACCACGACCCTACAACCGACATCCGCTCTAGCCATATTATACGCGAATTTGCACAAATTTCTCATTAGTCGAGACCCTTCCCGGCCTTGCATGTAGAGCCCGTACAAGAAATAATATCCAAAATTCTCAAACACATTAGGGAAAGATGGGATTTTTAGCCATGGAACCATGGCATCCAAAACCCTGGTCCCTAGGCACGCGACATGCGTTATGACCGATACGCCCTTCACTTGCAACCGGTAAACCTCCTTAGTGTCCCAAACACTAAGGATAGCAAAAGAAGATGGCAACTTGTCAGTGTTATGGTTCCATTTGGAGAGGGATTTCTTTGGTAAGGCCATGAAAGTGCCTAGACTGAGTTTGTTTCTCAGTAGACATTCAATGTCTTTCGGAAAGAACTCAGAGTTTGCAAATATGTCTCGATAGACTAGTTCCACCAGCTGCGGTGGAATCTGAATGATCATTACATCGGAGGATAATGGCTTGGAGTGTAGATGAACGGGTTGTACTAATACGGTGGGATTGCGAAATTTTATGTAGTTGCATTTCTTCGTGAACAAATTTAGAGAAGGTTGGTTGCTGTATTCTGTAGCCATGTATGCATATTGTGCACCGTTTTGTCTGCACCATTTTTCCAATTCGTGAACGAGTTTTGTGCCGATACCGAGCCTCCTGCATACAGAAATATCGTTATGTGTATGGTGGAGATTATGAGTCTAATTATTCTAGTTTTCAATTAGGCAAAGCATACATAAGAATAAGGCATTATGGAAGATAAGGCTTGATATATAGTTTATTGTAGCTTAGTGAATGATGTGGTATGACTTTATATTGTGTGAGTTGACAAGTATATATGCTTTAATCATATCATGATGTTTAACATTTTAAAACACTGTACGGATGCATAAGAAGAATCTTCAGTTTTATATATTAGTTTAGTATTAATGTAGTCGATCATCTTAATTATTTAATTATATAACAAAAGAATTAACATAATAATACTAACTTTTATGATGAAGGGGGCAGGTCGGGTCACGTTAAAAGCACACGGTCTATTATGCATTATGATGATGAAATGTACTTGGATATATATTTTTTTTCTTGGGATTAACCCCAAACCTCTCATATGCCTACACCTAACAATTTTCTTGATAACAATGTTTTTT